ATTGCTTGTGAGTCATCATTATCATAGGCACTGCAACTTGCATGATATGCTGGGTGCTGAGAAAGGTGGAGAAGTATTGCTGTTGGTGTCTCGGCTATCACTTGATGATATTTTATCATGAGCCTTGTGTGCATTGGTAGCTTCATCACGTCCTTGCATTTCGCCCATCTAACCATAACTACATGCACTTGTCATGTTTCCAGCGTAGTGCAATGTCAGCAAGTTTGCAGTGTCATTTCATCACGGGTAATATTTTCTTGTTATACATGTGTTATTACCTGTGTAGACAACATTTTTGAGTGAAGCAGCCTGATGGCTGCAGCATGTTGCATGGCTGTGGAAGCAGAAGACGTGTACGCATCTTTGTCACATATGTTTTATGGATTCCCAAAACAGGCTGAGCAAGTGATGTCACTTATAGGTTGCGTGCTTTGCTGAAAGTAATTTGTATATTGTATCATGTCTGTTTGGTCATTCACATGTCAGATGCAGAGTTATACGAGAATGCATGCTAGGCCCATCTTTTCATGATGAAATTTATTATGAAAGCAGCAGGGATTGCAGTACGAAAACCGTATATTTGTTCATTATGCCATGCCACAGTACAGCACTGAGGTAGTGCCATGATGACACTGTTGACCCGTGCAATTGCACAACGTACCATATTGGTTGACTACTCTATGTCAAGCCTATCAAACAACAGCTTTTAATTTATGAAGGGCAGGTAACAACTAATTTAACAACGCCAAGGAACTATCACCAGCGATAATGCTGTTACACCACAATGGTGATATCAGGGTTAACTAGTAAGTGCATAAATAATCCTAAGCGAGACAAACATTCTTGCTAGCTCAGCCTTACCATCTTTGGTAAGGCTGAGCTAGCTGAGCAACGCTTTGGCAATCAATTCATGGCAATGTTACAGATTCATAAATTTTTGCGTGCAAATGCATTTCTAGTCACAAATAATAAAGAAAGTAACCAATTTTCACATAACGTGATATCAATGTCAGGACTAAAGCACTGCAAGCAAGGATAAGTCGACAATACAGTACTGACATCCTCAACAGTCCTTGACAGGTTTCGGTAGAAGATTCATGACGCTATATGACAGTCTTCACAGCGTATCCTGCTTTGATATTAATAATCTGCGTACAAGCTGGCGGTCGTTACTTTGTGGATGTCAAACAGTCCACCAAAGCCTCTGTTACGACCAGTCCCAAGACAAAAAATACACAAACAAGCCATTCACCAATCCGCCACCCAGCTTAGCGCCCACGGCGGCAATGGCCGGTTGGCGTCAGCTTTCGTGCGTTTCGAGGTATTCTTCAGGTCTGGATGCCAGATTCTGCCAGGCATTGCTGTCGTTACAAAGCCATTCCATGACGCCACCAAACAACGGCATAATGGGGCGCATTTTTTAAGTTTGAAATTTGGCCACTTAAGGTCGTTTTTGAACCTTGAAAGCTTACCAATGGTTAAAATTAAGCTTTTCCCACATTATCTGACGTTTATCTCAATATCTTCAAATGTGGGGCATTCCCTTTTAGACCTAGACAACGTAAAGACAGCTTTCTCATGCATCATGCTCGGTAAATCCTTCTCTGAAGGACAGTTAACTGGATTAAGAATGGAGTAAGTGGTATAAGTGGTAAGTGGTAAGTGGTAAGTAAGTAAGTGGTAAGTAAGTAAGCAAGCGGTAGGACTATTCCTTACCTCTGTAAGGAATAGTCCTTGATTGTAGTCCTCAGATAGCCCATAGAATAGTCCTTGATAGTCCATTGATTGTATTTGGAGTGGAGTGTATTTATTATATCGATCACACATTGAGGTTACTTTTTCCAGTCAAAGTATTACTGCACAGAGAACAAGACATGAGTCCCGGGGAACTCCAAACCACCGAGTGACGCCGCTGCAGCACCGTACCGTGGCGTACGCTGGTCCCTGAAACTGTCGGCTAAACATGAAAGCCATGCTGCAAACGCACGGTACTAATCCTCGCCATTGTTGCATGGAAGTCAACAACGTGCCGCAGCAGGTTCAACAATCACCACACGAACACCTACCGCTGCACCGCGAGATCGAGACGGTGTCACCGGTAGCATTGACATAGTTACGGTGGAGTCGGCTGTCGCAATGACACGCCACATACCGCCCGTCGATTCATGTTCAAGTTTGAATTCAGTAACGGCATGTTGTTGCGTTGCAACAATTGTGTTTACATCCGACACGGCACTTTTGATCGTCTGATAGTGTTCACAGCCACTCAGGCAACCGGCAAGGTTCGGCGAGCAGCATATGGACGCCATTGTTGCCTCAACCCGTTAATGCGGCGGTATCCTACGGATGTCCGGCAAGGAGATTCAGCAGAGAGCCATCAATGACCATATTTATGTAAGTGGTGTGCGATTCTACCGTATGTAATATTGAAACCAGCTGTATCAAGCTTGTAGCCGTGGGTGCAGGCATCACTGTGACATTAACAGCTGCAATACAATCTGTTTTTTCACCTAGGGACCACTGAACCTTTTCTTGGCCAGGCAAGATAGGTTTGCTGCTTTACTTTCCAGTGTTAATGTGGAGAACCGTTGGTTAAACTATGCACCTGTATGCGGGCTTTCTACTGGACTGGAGAACTTGACAGTGAACGGGCTGTCCACCCGATGTGAATCCAAGCAGGCCCTAAACAGGTTCGGCGAAGTAGCTACGTAGTCATAGATGTGGGAAGGGGTCATGCCCCAGTGAATAAGTCTCAATACTAGATACTGGCAGTGCTCTGGTGGAAACACAGTGGGCAGAGGGCTTCGCAGCGTCAGGGTATAAAAACCGGCGCATGAAGCAGACCCGCTCGTACTTCGAAGCGGCTCGTCCGTTCGCCTTGTAACCTTCCCCACTTGATTCCATGAAGCGGGGTGAGTCATGGGGTGGCTGTATCGAGACTCGTCCTGAGGTCAAACACCTCCAAACTGCGATGAGGAAATCTTACATACAAGACAGGCAAGTCAGATCACAAAACCTACTGCGCCGATCACTGTGAAGCTTTCACTATTGCATGTGCTTTGCCTGATTCCTTGTTGTATTTGAAAACTTGGTGGCCCTAGGTCATGTCAAAAGTAATTAAATTTTACAAGTTCAAAAATTATTGCTTGCGGACAATTTATTTCTTAAAGCATGCCGAACCGATCGCTCACCATTTGAAGCGTCATACCTGATTCCCTCTAACAGTTGAAAAGTTATTGTTTCTATGTCAGTCCAAAGTCCTCAGATTTTACAGACTCCAAAAGTATTGTTAGGTAAACAACTCAGTTCTCAGAACATACTAAACCGATCGCTGCCAAAATTCCACCATTCAGTACGCCATGCTTGATTCTCTGATGAAGCTGCTAGTGCGGTGCCAGTTACAATTTTGCGCTTTCCTTTTACCTTGAATCCCAAGAAAACGTGCAACGTGGTTGGACTGACCTTATCATGTTGATGTCATTAGCTATTTGAGTTTCTCGTTAGCGGAGATGTCCTACTGACAGTCACGCGCTAAGTTGTGCATGGTGCCGCTGTGATAAAAAAGAGCCGCGGTCGTACTGACCCACCGCTGGTCGATGTGAGTGGCATACGAATACCGTCATGTCGTGATCATGTACATGCCTCCTCAGCAGCCTTTTGTTGGTTGATAGCTCCAAGTTGTCCAGAAGTACGCCGAATCGAACTGAGCCTGGGCCACGGCTGCGACGGATGCTGTTGATCTGACGTGTCTGGCCGTGAGAGCACCCTCGATGGGCCTGACCGAAACGGACTGATGTGGTCAGTGTTCCGCAGTGACAGATCCATGACCTCAGAATCCGTCTTGGGGACTTGCTTTCTGCACTCTGTGTGTAGTTTGTCACCAAGGTACCAATCCCAGAAATAAGCGTTGGCAACAATCCCGAAAAAGACGTCACTGCTTTGGTCAACGGGAGCCTTGAGCTTCACCATGCGTGCTGTGCGCAGCCGTGTCAATGGGTGATTTGACGATTAGAACTGCTTTAAATGTCCCAAAAACTGAACAAGTTGCTAAGTGCATTTGCGAGGAACATTATTCACATAGATAAGACAGCAGTAGTAGTAGAAGACACGTGACGCATCGTTGCGTTCTCAACTGAAGCGGTCAAATTTCAGTTTAAATTGCAACTCGAGTGCCTCTCACGCTTTTTCGAGGATTTTGGTACTGCGTTATTTGCCATTTCAAAACAGTATTTGACGTGAATTGACTAGTGGTATCAATTTCCAACGCTGACGAGACGTCTGTTAACATGCACCCGCATATTTTGCATACACAACACTGGAGGAAGACAGCAAAGAATATGAGGAATGTATTAAATAAAAAACAAGATTGCATACGATACATGTACGTAATCATATCCATCGCGTATTATGACAATGGTCAGCCACACCGAGATAGTTCGCTTCATTCTCTAACAGAAAGCCCATGGCATTTGTTCAGATGGCATCGCACACACTTACAATAATGCCAAACAACCGAACAATCGGTCTAAATGCAGCATTCATACGAAGAGCTAAAAGTTTACGCTGTGCAACTACCAACAGCCTGAAGTAAAGCCTAGATGTGTAAGGGATGCTGCCACCTTGACTATACGCCTATAATGTCGCTTTAAAAAAATAAACTGGCTCCTGGTTTTCAACGCTACCGGGCACTGCTCCCCACGGCGAGCGGCCCGCTTCAACAAGATCATCAAGATCAACAAGATCATCTGCCTGGTTCGCCGAGATCGTCTGGTGCCAATGGTCAATGCTCCTAGACATGGCCCGCCATCGCCGTATAAATGACGTCACACCTCGTGTGTGACGAAGCTGACACCACAATGTGACGTCACACCTCGTGTGTGACGAAGTTGACATCACAGTGTGACGTCATTCAACGTGTGTGACGAAGCCGACATCATAATGTGACGTCACACCTCGTGTGTGACGAAGCTGACATCACAATATGACGGGCTGCGGTGTGGTCACTGCATGCCCCGACTGAAGCGGCGCTCGGCCGCGACCAGCTCCGAGATCCAGCGGCCTGACTTGGTGCGCAGCATCGGAGGTCGGGCGACCTCCTGAGGCAGGCAGGCGACCTTTTGAAGCATGTCGGCAACCTGTTGGGGTGTGTCGCTGGCCTCATCGGGACACTGGTCCAGGTCCTCGATCGGGTAGGCCAGCCCCTCGTGCCCACGAGGTACCTGACGCGTCGCATACATGTCTTCTTGACGCTGATCTGCGACCTCCGGAGACTCACTCGCGGTTTCCTGGACCGGCGAGACGCTCTCCTGGGTCAGTGAGACGTCCTCGGGTGCCAGCGAGTCGCCGCACGCCGGGCCGACTTGTCGCTGGATCTCCCGCCACGACGTCAGCACGTCCTCGGCCGAGGTCACGCGGGACACGACCACGAACCGCGCGGCCAGCCGCCGGCCGGGCACCATCGTCGACACCATGAACACCCTGCCGGCGGCCGTCACGCGCTCCAGCAGGCGCTCCGTCGCCGTGTTGTCCTCTCCGCGCACGCGGAAGCACACCACGCCCATCGAAGCGGGCGAGACGACCTCGAAGCGGCGGTCCTGGCGCACCAGCTCCTCGAACTGTCGCGCCAGCGCCACGTGACCGCGGATGTACGCCTGGATGCCGCTGACGCCGTACAGGCGCAGTACGAACCACAGCTTCAGCGCCCGGAACCGGCGGCCCAGCGCTAGGGACCAGTTGCGGAAGTTGGGCAGCGTCGTCTCGGCGGTGGCCAGCACCTGCGCGTCGATCCGATGCGCGCTGCTGAACGCAGCCGAGTCGCGCACCCACAGCGCCGTGCACTCGAAGTTGACCAGCATCCACTTGTGGGCGTTGAAGCTGAAGGATGTGACGTGCTCGACGCCGCGCAGCAGGTGGCGAAACTCGGGGCAGACGAAGGCTGGCCCGGCGTACGCGGCGTCCACGTGCAGCCAGAGGCCGTACTCGCTGCACACGGCGCCCAGCTCGTCCAGCGGATCAAACGCACACGTGCCGGTCGTGCCCAGCGTGGCCAGCACGTAAATTGGCACGTTGCCAGCGGCGATCTCCTCCTGAACGGCGGCGCGCAGCGTGTCGCCGCGCAGCGTGCAATCGGCGTCCGTCGGCAGTTTGCGCATGCGCACAGCTGTCACGCCGGCCGCTTTGAGCACGGCCGGGTTCGCCTCCTCAGACGTGAACGCGACGAGTCGTCCCAGCGCGGCCGCCTCGGACAGCTGCGGCTCGCGCTCGGTCAGCAGCTGCAGCTGTCGCTGACGGGCGGACGTCAGCGTCAGCACCACGCCCTCGGTCGCCGAGCCGATGATGACGCCGCCGCCGCGGCCCGAGTCGGACAGGAAGTGCGCCGGCAGCGCCAGCATGCGCGCCAGCCAGTCCATCACGGTCACCTCGAGCTCCAGGCAGGCGGGCGCCGCCTCCCACGACAGCCCGACGCAGCTGAGCCCGTGCGCCAGCAGCTCGGCGAGCAGCGCCGGCGGCGAGTTGGCCAGCGGGCAGAAGGCGTGGAACTGCGGTGAGTGCCAGTGCGTCATGCCCGGCTGGATGACGCGCTCCACGTCACGCATGACGTCACGCCAGGAGTCGGGCGTGGCGGGCGCCTCGGTCGGCACCAGCTTGGAGAGGTAGCCGGGGCTGACGGACGGCAGCACGGGCCGGTCGCGGATGTCGCGCTGGTAGTCGATGATGTAGTCGATCACCTCGCGCGCCGCCTCGCGGAACTGCTGGTCTTCCATGGTCGGCCCTGTCTGAGGAAGGTACAGGTCAGCTGCGGCGCGCGCTTTCGGAGCAGGGGTGTCAAAACACGCCTGTAGTCTTTCAAAGGCATTGGGATAGTTCCAGTTGGGTCTTTGCGCAAGTACGCTTGCAATGCATGCCAAATGATGCAGAAAGGACAGCATGTGCAGTTGCAGCAATCAAAGATGCACAGTGAATGACTTCAGTGTAGTACCTCTCTCAGGTTTTTATTAAGAAACATTTACGCAAAAGAACATGCTTTTGTGATTCAAAGAAACGCTTTTGTGCGAAAGGGCATTGCTAGCGGAAAGAGCATACGACAGCCGCGTGTATGTCCCAAACGCATGGCTGGAGATCTTGTGGAGTCGGGGGAGGGTCCGAACCCCTTGGGCCCTAGAAAATCAGCACTTTGTGATTCCGGACGTCCAAGGCTCTTCGAGAGGGTCATATTCGACTGACGCAGCTCCAAGAAAACAGACATACTGAATGAGAAACACTAAAAATAGTTTATTTGGCAGAATAAAGGGCCAGACTGAAACAAAGTCCTCCAGATGCCAGACGACGTCATGTGACAACTTCGGCTACCTCTGGCCAAAATCCTGCCCAGATTCCGTACGGTGATGCGAACTGGGCATAGTGACGCCGTGGGGCTGAAGTCAGAAGGACTGGGTGGCAGCTGGGGAGGCGGACGATGTTTGAAGTTTCTGTGAGCGCATCGGCTACTGACGCCATTCCGGGCTCGAATCCACAACTTTCTGATCATTATAGCACTATACACTATACTAGCACTATCTGAGCACTATACTACCAAAAAGGTGAGTATATGACATGCAGACCAATAGTGCCCAGAAAACTCAGCAATAGATGAGGTTCTAGTGTGGGATGTTTTCCAATTAATGACGTCAGTGTCCTAGGGCCACCGAAGAATTTCTGCCCATTGGTAGCTGTCGACAGTCGACCGAGACATGGGTGGCAGTCAGCTTTTCGCCGCATCTGCTGCATGAGGGAAATTTTTGGGCGTCGTTTAGTCGAAACATGTACGCGCTGTCCTTATGGCCAATATATAGGCGGGTAAATGCTGTACTTGATCTTCTTCACACGATTTCAAAAACCAGGACGCCCAGGCGTCTAAAAATGGTTTGATGGCTTTCAGGTTGTTTGTCTGGTGTTCCTCGCTCCTTCTGGTTTGCCATTTCGCAAGAATATACCCATTCCCTTTGAAGTGCATGTTGTTTGCAGGGATTTGCAGTGTACTGTCAGGTGTAGAAGTGTGTCAGACTTGGCCTGTTGCCAGGCAGCTCCACATAGCTTGGGATCCAGAACAGCGCTAAGTGCCCCCCCCCCCCCCCCCATTTCCTCTCAGCGCAACAAGTTTTCTTCCATTCAGCAGCGCTAAATAAGGGTCGAACGTTTGGGGGTTCTCAACCGCTGCAACGGAGCCGAGGGAAGCAGTGAAGCCTGTCGACAACGGCAGTTAAAGTTGTGAAGCACCGTCAAAGCGGCGTGAAATGGCGAACAGTTCGGCAGTAAAAAAGCGGGGGCCGAGGAGGGCAGTGGTATCCGCTCGTTGCTTCGGGACGACACGCATGCACGTCCGGTACCGTGTGCCGTTTTCGAACCGTCGGTGTAGAAATGCGCAGAACTTCCATACCTCGGGAAAATAAGCCTCCGGACGTGTTATTTGAGCTCGGCAGCGTACGTGGAACACTTCTGAAACTTGCTAAGTGATGCTCTCCGGCTCCACGGTTTGAGCGATTTGCCACGGAACCGGAGATGAACCACAAGGGGTCTGTATTTGACTTTGATCAAGACTAGCGCCTCGCAGCACGCTGCTCGCGCGAACGCTGAGTGGTCACGCTTTACTAGGCCTTCCCGGAGAAAAGGATTACCGGCCATTGGCACTGGAGATCCGGTTGTGTGCTGGGTGCGTGGGGATTGGCTAACTTTCGTCGCATGCCGTATTTCCAAAGCGTGTCGTCTCAGATCACGGCGAAGTTCATTCGCGTCCGCCAGCAGGCTCGCTGTGGGTGACGTGCGGAACGCACCGGCGGCTATACGAATGCGTGCGTAGTTAATGGTGTCTATCACTCTCTTGCTAGAGCTGCGTGCCAAGTCGTAAGCCACACACCGCGTATTCCATCTGTGACCTGATTGGTGAATGGCGCAATAGAAGCATAGACCTGCGGTCTGCTCGGTATGTCAAAGGTGACACTGCTTTTAAAACCTCACGAGCTTTGAAACAACTCGCGCGGAGATGTCGAAAGCGGTCCAGATATGTAAGGCAATGGCCTAGTATCACGACCAGGGAAAGTTTCCACCATTGGAACGACGCTGCCGCTCAGCTCGACCTGCGGATCGCTGCACGGTTCGCTTCGGCTGCAAAAGTGCAAACAGACCGTCTTAGACGTTGAGAATGTAAAACCGCTGAGTATACGCCACCGGGCAAGTTTATCAGGGCGGAGATGAACCTGTCGGTCTGCTGACACTGACGTGGAAGTGGGGACACAGATCACAAAATCGTCAACAAGAAAGATCGCCCTACGCAAGCGGGCAGTGTGAAATCGCTATCGCTAACCATAATGGCGAATCAAGCCACGCTCATAATGCTGACCGGCGCCACACCGTTTTCTTGTTTCGTGCAAATGACTATGAGCACGTCTTACCCACTCATGCTTTAAAAGAGCGGATATCCTGCTTCAACGGCGCTACCAGTGACGGCGTGTTTCGTTTCGCTGGAGAGCTGAATTCAACTGACACCGTGCGTCTATCACGAGCACCCGCTCTGCCCGAGGTGGCGCTCTGGCTGAGCAATGGCGTCGGGCGTAGGGACGTCGCTGGCCGCACGTGAGGCAGCAGGACGTGCTGCTGTGAAAAATACTGGCAAGAAATGCTAGCGCGTTGCGCATTTTCACGCGGGGGACAAGCTCCGGACAAAAGTTCTGGGCCCCTGTTGGCCTCCTATTGGGCCTCCTGTTGGGCCTCCTGTTGGGTCGCCTCCGATACACCGGTGATACGCCGGCCGGGTCCGGCGGGGCCGAGTCAGGTCACGCCGGAGCCGAGCCACAGCTCACACCGGAGCCGAGCGGCAGCTCACACCGGAGCCGAGCCACAGCTCACACCGGAGTCGAGCCACATCTCACACCGGAGCCGAGCCGCAGCCCACACCGGAGCCGAGCCGCAGCTCACACCGGAGCTTAGCCACAGCTCACGCCGAAGCCGAGCCACAGCTCACGCCGAAGCCGAGCCACAGCTCATACCGGAGCCGAGCCACAGCTCACGCCGGAGCCGAGCCGCAGCTCACACTGGAGCCGAGCCACAGCTCACACCGGAGCCGAGCCACAGCTCACACCGGAGCCGAGCCGCAGCTCACACCGGAGCCGAGCCACAGCTCACACCGGAGCCGAGCCGCAGCCCACACCGGAGCCGAGCCGCAGCTCACACCGGAGCTGAGTCACAGCTCACGCCGAAGCCGAGCCGCAGCTCACACCGGAGCATGGCCGTCGCGCACCGGCGCTGTCGGCTCGGGGCACAGCGGTTGGGATCCATAGAGTTAGCTAACGCTCGGCCGCCTCGGGTTATGAAACTGAAGTATTCTGAATACACATTATGTGACTTCAGAAACGTTTGGCGCCGTGATTGGGGACGTAAATACGCATTAGCCCTTTTCACGCAAGCATGGTTAGACGAGGATACAATATGGTACCAAACTTGAAATGAGCGAAACATTGGATAAACAGGAGCGAAAACCAAGGTTTGTTGTCGGGAGAACTAAAATACCATAACTTTTTTGTTACATCGTCATGTGTCTATTCGTCATTTCACGTCCGCGGTACTCTACGTTTTAGAAGCATGCGGCCAAGCACGCAAACGTAAAATTATGAATTGCTACATGACGAAACAAAATGTTTCCAGGTAACGATTAGGGTTATTATGATATGTCTGACGATGGCATTAGGCATATAAATAAACCGGGGGGAAACGACGGGTTTCGCCGCCTGTCATCTTGCCTTCCGTGCATTTTAGAGTTGGGTCTCTGGGGCGTAATCGCCGAGCGGTTAGGGCGTCGGGCTCCCACGTGGCGGGCCCGGGTTCGAATCCCGGTTGTGCCATGGCCCCTGAGCGCTAACATGGCCAGTGCAGTCGCTGGCGCTCCATAAAAGGGGCTTGGCGACATGCGTCGGGTTCCCTTTAAAAAGGAAATACGCGCATGTGAAGTGCGGTGGGACGAACTTAGCTACCAGTCAAATGAGCACAAGCGTGAAAAGGATTGTTGTGATCGGTTTGGTAGGGGCCAATCAAAATCTGTATTTTAATAGCCAGGGTGTTACGTATACTATTGCACACCTGCAGCGTGTTTGCTAAGAGCTGTATGCAGACCTCCGCATCCAACCGCTAATGAGTCCTTCAGTACTTACCAATCAATAGTAATGCAGCACGATGCAAGGATCTCCTCTTCAGGCGCACTTCACACTTCGGAAAGCTTTTGGCGACTGATGGCTCGCTGAGGGTTCATCTGTTTATATTGACCCGCTGCTAGGTACTGTCCAGGCTCCGTGTTTTCCACCGGCTGCGGATTTTTAGCTTGGGCGTTCCGTTTATCGCGCTGATCTGCGGTTTCGCTCCGGGCATTGGGTTGGGGTAGGGAGGATACGGCTTATGCCGCCACACTGACGTCACGGTGGAATGTCTGCGTGACGGCGAATCACGCAGAGCCCGGCTTGACGTCGCACCTTGGAAACGCCTACCGCAGGGGCCGGCTAATTGGCTGACGGCAGTCGGCGACCGACCAATCAACGGGCGACAGGGTAACCCCCGACTGCATGCCTTTGATCGGTCCGCCGCCGCCGCGCGGACTGAGCTGCTAGCCGCGTGGCTTCCGGCCCCGGAATTCCGCCGTTGCGCATGCTCGAGCAGAAGATGACTTGGACTCGTCCGGTGGTTCACCATCTGATGTAACGGTGCGTCACTGTGCGTCACGTGCGGTCCTCTCGGCCGGGGA